GAAAGTGCATTGAAATAACTTTTTTTTGGCGCTATATAAATAAACTGATTGAATTACAATCTCTACTGTCCCTTGTAGCACGATCTTGTGTCTTGTCTTTGTTTGCTTTTATTAAGTACAGAAAAGCATTTTAGGAATATTTAATGGGCCAAATTTGCTTGTTTCCATTTTAACCATTATCACTGGGGAACTGGGAGTACTTGTCAATATCTGGGTTTGTACCGTTTTCATTTGTCTTCTTTATTTCACTTCTTGGGTCTGTTTGCAAATTAGATTCACATTCCCAGACTGCCAAACAGATTTCCCCACAGCTCTCAGTAAATCAACCGTGTACCTTGGTGAGTTGGTGTGGGCGTCATGTAGGATACCTTTCAAAGCAACCTCAGCAGATGGTTTCCGTCACCTTCCTTTAGGTCAAACTAGACTTTAGATAGATCATGTCTCAGCTGGTTTTGTTGCTGCTCAGTGGTGCAGTGGGTAGCACCACTGCTTTGCAGCAAGATGGTTTTGGGTTCGATTCCTGGCCCAGGGTCTTTCTGCATGGAGTTTGCATGTTCTCCCTGAGTACTCCGGTCTCCTCCCACAGTCCAAAACATGACTCTTAGGTTAATTGGCTTCTCTAAATTCTCCTTAGGTGTGAGTGCGTGCGTAAATGGTTGTTTGTCTCTGTGTTGTCCTGAGATGGACTGGAGACCTGTCCAGGATGGACCCCGCCTCTCACCTGCAGACAGCTGGAGATGGACACCAGCACCCCTTGCCACCCCAGCTGGAATAAGTTGGACAGAAAATAGATGGATGGATGGTTTTGGTGACATCTTGTCACCCGAGACGGAGGAATATGTCTGATGATTTCTGCTAAATCTGTTAGCCCAATGATCCAGTGCAAGATAAACAGTACAAGATAGACAAAGCACATACCTGTGAAGCATTTTTTGTTTCCTTTAATGTTTATTTATTCATCTTATTAAATAAAGCATGTCATGAAACAACAGGAAGCATATTTTCAATGTAATTACAGATTCTAACCTAAAACATGCCTCAGCTAAAAGAGAACAGAAAAGAAAATAAGTTCAACAAAGTAGCGTCTCACAATAATGGATACAAATGTAAAACAAATGTTTCACGGTTGGTTCAGAACATCACTGTTGGTTTAAATCTTAAAGCTCCATCAAATTAAAAGGTCATACTTTGGACATCTGAACCTAAATGTGCAAAACAAATCACCAGTCGGTGAATCCAGAGCCTTTGAGATGGGCTTCTCCTTTTTCCCCTCAACCTTCCTTCTACAGCATCTGTCTTATTTTAGCATCTCTTCACGGAGAACCAGAACCCTACAGCTCTGTGGCAGCGGTCTCACCAAAATACTGGTTATATATCTCTGGGTGGGATAAATAAAACTGTCTGAGGAGACGTCTTCTCTCCTTTTCCGACATCTTGTTATCCAGGTGAATGTTGTTCAGCAGTATCCATAATTCCTGGTTTGTGTTCTTCTTTAAAGAGTCGGCGCCGATGGAGGCCTGCAGACCAAGAGAAGCGCCTGCAGGACAGACTGGAAAAAGCAAAAGAAAGAAAATCTTTAAGGTCAGTTTTGAAAACCGTTTGACTCAAAACGTCACAGTGAAATGAAACCAGCAGTGGTCAGATGAAGGACGGTAATCACAGGTTTTGAAAACGAAGCAAGAGGC